CTTTATTTATAGTATATTTTTATAATACTTTACAATCATCTCGACCGCTACTCTCTATTTATAGTATATTTTTATAATACTTTACAATCATCTCGACCGCTACTCTTTATTTATAGTATATTTTTATAATACTTTACAATCATCTCGACCGCTACTCTTCTATTTATAGTATATTTTTATAATACTTTACAATCATTTCATCCGCTACTGTCTATTTATAGTATATTTTTATAATACTTTACAATCATCTCGACCGCTACTCTTTATTTATAGTATATTTTCGATTAAACTCTTCTTAGTCAGTATTGGAACGAATTCATAACACAATAAAAATACACTGCACGTCATGTTGATATTTATATTATGTTAAATCAAAATATTTACTGTTGTACTCGTGTCTGTTCTTTTGTTAAGATCTTGAACACAGTTCTTAATATAATAGCAAGCTTCGGCTACTTGCTTCTAATTTATGCGTCACCTCAACGACTCCTGACATATTTAAGCAATTCAGGTGAGTAAAAAATAATCTTGCAGAAAAGTAGAACATGCCATCTGTTGATCTGATGTTTTCTTACTCTAAATGCTTACTGAGCACGAGGCTAGGTCAGGGACAGAATGTGTAAGGAGAGCAGACTAGGTGGCGCTCCAGTCGAGTGACCATACTTTAACTCTTGTCAGTAAATCAGACAGTTCAGTAGAGAAATAAGAGGAGAAGGATCAACATAGAGGAACCAAGATGAAAGTGTGCTTTATATTAGTGCTTCTTGTAGGAGCCGGTAGGGGGAGCAGCTTTTTTAATATTCTTACTTTAGCTTCTTAGAATATGTTCTAGTAGCCTTTATCACAAATAATAGCTAATTCGTACTTTGTTTCGATATTTTAACTCTAACTTGCATTTTTAGAGTACCTTAGAACATTGTTCTTCTATGATAAATAAATTAGCCTTAAGTAAAATTTAGGTAGTTTTTATTGTACTCATCTGATAACTACTGAAAATAGCGTGAAATATTATAAACAATTAAATACAATTACGTTGTTCTTTATACTTTCCAAGTATATTCTGTCGCTCAGAGCGCACTGGATCCAAATGAACCTCTTATGAGGAGAAAAGTCACGTACTTAAACTCGTATAAAACCATAACAGTCACTTTTATGTTAAAATATTATTCTAGTGACGTTAGTTGGTTAGCTGTTAAAATACTTCTGAAATGTTATTCTAGTGACGTTAATTGGTTGGACTGTTCTAGTAGTTAGCTGTTAAAATACTTAACGTCACTAGAATAACATTTCAGAACTACTAGGACAGTCCAACCAATTAGCGTTTCAGACTGTGAATCTGCGGGTTCACGGCTCGCGTTTCATTGTCTCTCGGCATTTTGGGGCCGTGGGTGCGTTATAAGAATGACGATTAACTCCCACTATTTGATTAGAATGGCCCGAGAGTTTTTACTAGCTGTCTTTCCTTTAGACTATCATTTCAAAATTAGTGACGGTTTGTGCAGATATTTTTTTGTGTAACTTTGCAGAAATATTTGTGCTTGAGTCGTAAACATATGTAAAGAAAATTCTTTAATTTTTTTTTACAGAGGAGCTATTTGAAAGTAAACATTATATACAAGGTTTAAATATTATTTAATCTGTGTTTAGCAGTGAAAATTCAATTACAAAGTTTAGTGACAGAGAATTAATGTTGTGTATTGAATATAGGCTTAATGATTTCAGTAATGTATTAGAAATTGTTTGAAAACTAAATAATACATTAGACATTGTTTGAAACTGAATAATGTATCAGACATTGTTTGAAAACTGAATAATGTATTATACAATGTTTGAAACTGAATAATGTATCAGACATTGTTTGAAAACTGAATAATGTATTAGACATTGATTGAAACTGAATAATGTATCAGACATTGTTTGAAAACTAAATAATACGTTAGACTTTGCTTGAAAACTGAATAATGTATCAGACTTTGTATGAAAACTGAATAATGTGTCAGACATTGTTTGAAATCTGAATAATGTATCAGACATTGTTTGAAAACGATACGTTACATCACTTTGATTTACCGTTCAGAAACTTAAAGTGACTTAGATTATTCTAATCGGTGGGATCATCTATCCTTACCTTTTTTTTATGAGCCAGGCGTGACTTAGTGGTTAGCTTTCCGGACTGTGAATACAGATTTCATGCTTCGCAACCTGTTGCTGCAAAATCACGCTCTAAACTTTGCGGTCGAGCGAGCGTTATAAGAGTGACTGTCAAATACCATTGTTCGTAAAGTAGTCCAAGAGTTGGAGGTGGATGCTATTGATTAGTTACTTTTCCCTCTAGTCTGTCACTTCAAAATTAGGGACAGCTAGGGTATACAAACTCTTGTGTAGTTTGAACAAATATACAAAGCAACCAAACAAATCATCAACTGAGAAATTGTTATACAAATTTTGAATCGCTGTTCTAAGGGATAGCTAGGATATACAAACTCCGGTGTAGTTTGAACAAATATACCAAAATTTGTATAACAATTTCTCAGTTGATGATTTGTTTGGTTGCTTTAGTCGCTGTTCTATGGTCACTTTCAATCATATTATAGAATGTTATAAACAGATGCTTTATTATTTCTTTTCCATTTATAATATTTTTTTCTCTTGAAAACTGGCATTCAAAAGTTAATCCTACCTTAAAGAAAAGTGTTAATTACCTTAAATAACAAATTTACAACAATTATATCTGTCTTTAATTATTATATAATGTTATCAAAACCCGAATTGTTTCATGTTATGGTCGATGATGTGGGTTTCTTTTCCGTCCCTAATTTTGAACAGATCTACTATAAGGAAGATAACTAGACAACGGCACCCATTATCTTCTAATCAAATAAGGGGATTTGACTGTCACTCTCATAACACACCAATACTAAAAACAAAACAAAAAACCCCCAACAACTGGGTATTGCATTCTTCGAAGGCGTCGCTTTATCTCGAGCCGAATTACTTCAGAAACCCCATAAACTTTATTTCTTATATTAAGCCATGAGAAATGTTCCTGAAGCTCACTTAAATCTGATAACGTCATCTGCACTCTCATTCCCGAGGCTATCGGAAATGTGATCATAAATACTTGGTTGTTAAACCTAATCTGGGTCACACGCCCAATCACTGAAACCAGTTAGGAGTGATGTAATAAGTAGGAAAGGTGCCTTACACCTTGGTACAACAAACCAGGCCTATGGCATCTAAAGCATGAATTAATAAGTTACATTTTTTTAGTACAAACTTTCTTTAGTCTGAGCATTAGGCTCAGTTCTAAATATTTCAATATTTGTCCGATTATATATTTATTATCCTGTCTTGCTGTTTTCTCAAATGTTAGCTTCGAATTAACAGCTGCTCGACTGGGTCCTTATCCTACATAAGACAATACCATGCTATAGTTACAGTTAAACACGAACAATACCACGCTATAGTTACAGTTAAACACGTACAATACGACGCAATAGTTACAGTTAAACAGGTGTAGTGATCATTGAAACGATTCCTTGGAATCATTTTGTTTAATGAACTTACAACACGGTTCTACCACCGTATCGTGTTAAGTTTGGAATCATTTTGTTTAATGAACTTACAACACGGTTCTACCACCGTATCGTGTTAAGTTTGGAATCATTTTGTTTAATGAACTTAATACATGGTTCTACCATCGTATCGTGTTAAGTTTGGAATCATTTACGTTAATGAACTTACAACACGGTTCTACCACCGTATCGTGTTAAGTTTGGAATCATTTACTACCATCGTATCGTGTTAAGTTTGGAATCATTTACTTTAATGAACTTACAACACGGTTCTACCATCGTATCGTGTTAAGTTTGGAATCATTTACTTTAATGTACTTACAACACGGTTCTACCATCGTATCGTGTTAAGTTTGGAATCATTTACTTTAATGAACTTACAACACGGTTCTACCATCGTATCGTGTTAAGGTGACCAAGTAAACTGCAATATCTCATGTAGAAATGTCGATAATTCGGCCAATAATCGCACCGTAAATAAGATACTGCATGAAAGAAAAACGTCTATTCGAAAGGTACTTATGAGCGTCTTTATTCGAACGTTAACATGTTCCTCGAATGAACCAAAGTAGGTAAAAACTGTCAATAAAAGAATGAAGAATAAATACAAAACAATGCAACGTTGTGTGGTGAAGCGAAGTAAGATGTAATGGATTGAAAGCACTTGGTACCACTTTAGGTTTAATGAAATAATTAAACTGTACTATAGATGTGACATTGTTTGTTTGAAAGCCGGTACCATGCTTGGTACCACTTTAGGTTTATGAAATAATTAAACTGTACTATACATGTGACATTGTTTGTGCAATGTTACACGAGGACTGCCTGCGCTAGTCGTCCCTAATTATGAGCTGATAGACAGAGGAAAAGCAGCTGGTCAACAGTTATCTGATCGAATAGTGAAATTTCACCGTCACTCTTATATTGCGGCGCACGTTTCCTGTGGCAACGGGGTGTGAACAACAAATCCTAGCATTCACTGTCCGGGCACGTTCGACTCTGTTTCACATTGAATTGTAGATGTCTTGAAATTACTTTTTATCATAGCCTCGTACAATTTTTATATAATTTCCCCATGGACAGAACGCGCTAAAGACACGAGGTGACAAAGGTTACGACGTAACTGAAATAGCAAAATATCACTTATTAAGTTTTCCTCTTACACACCTCTGTAACTTAAAGTTCTCTAGAAATCGTCGCAGGTTGCAATGTTCTATAGCTAGTTTCTCAGTACTTTTTTACAGAAAATGTTGATTAATATCATCTTTACAAAAATCAGATGAGTTTTCTCGAATTTCTGTAGACCAAAACCAAAACCCATCTAGAATATTAGGAATTTTTCAGAAAACAGCATTTTTTAGAGGTGAAACTAATAAACTTACTTTTTTTGACAATAAGTAAACTTTCCACGAAAGAAGGATATGTTTAAATATTGTTAGGTCAGTTTGAGCCCAACCTCACTGTTAGATATAGTCCTAACTGTTTGAAACAACTGCAATACGTCGGTGATGCTCAGATTAATTAAAAAGCCATTAAGCATGAACTATGTTGAATTTAACAGAGGATTGGAAACCGCTAAATATTAGTAATGTTTGATTCAATAGATGATTAAAAACTACTGAGCATTAAACGTGTCCTCTGGATGTCAGCAGTGAGTTTCTGGACTTACAATGCTAAAATTCGAAGTTCGATTCTCCGTGGTGGACAGAGTGCTAATATCCAATTGTGTAGTTTTGCACTAAAAAACAACAACATCTACCTTAATCGGTTAAAGTTAATAGGTGATTAAAGATTAACAACCATTAGTATTAACCACATTTAATTTGTTTGATGTGTTTAAACATTTATAAGTTTGACTCTACTATGTTGTACAATAAATATACAAGTGAAAATCAATGCTCTGGTGTCACTGCCGTACAAAAATGAAATATTTCTCTAGGAAACTAATGTAAGTTTATCTTGCGTACTTAAAGCGCGAGTCCGAGAAGGGTATTGTTCAGTTGAGGCATTGTGGGATATGGTTTGAAGTGGTTCCTTGCAGTTTTAAGCTTTCATTGAAGGATTAACCCTGGCGCTGATTCTCAGAACATGTGATGTCTTTAATATTATTAAACTCCGTTTAATTTGGAAAAGCACATATGTAGTAAATGTTATGAAGTGGACTAAGAAAGAAAGTTTTCATGACCTTTAGTATTATTTGT